TTGTGTCCTTGTCTGGTTTTGGGATGAGTGTAATACTGACTTCATAGAATGAGTCTGGCAGTGTTCCTTCCCTTTCTATTTCATGGAAAAGTTTGAGGAGGGTTGGTGTTCTTCTCGAAGGTCTTGCAGAACTTAACAGTGGATCCATTAGATCCTGGACTTTTCTTTTTTGAGGAGACTATTGCTGCTTCAATTTCACTGCTTGTTGTAGATCTATGTAGGTGACTTATATCTTCTTGGTTCAGTTTTGGATGATCATATGAGTCTAGAAATTTGTCCACTTTTCTGTAATTTTCCAATTTATTTAATATAGGTTTTCAAAGTAATCCCTAGTGATTACCTGGATTTCCTTTGTATCTTTTCCCACCTCATTTTAGTAAGATTTGTTAGGTAGCTCTCAATCTTATTTATCTTGAAAAATATTTTTAAAAAAAGATAATTGTTTGTGTTTTCAGATGATTTTGTAGGGCTTTACTCCTTAGAAAACTGAGTTTTAACTGAGTCAAGTTTCATTTGAGTGTCTGCTTATGTCCAAGTCTTTTAAATGATCACTAACACAACTATTATTTTAGGTGGTTCTACATACCCTACATGCCTGTGACTAAAAATGTGCAGAGTTGTATGTGTGAAGTTTGCTTACATGCCATACAGTTATAGCATTAAAGATGCAAGTTAAATACATGCCAGGTAAGCAACAAGTGCTCTCTTTTATTCAATACATACTACATCTAAACCTTAAAATATGAAATGGTCAATAAAACTTTTTACATTTCTGCTAATTATAATTATTACCATTCAAATTCTAAAAACCTGCCATTTGGACAGTTCTGCTATTTAAAATTGGCCTACATCTATTGCTTGGACTGAAGAAACATTTTGAGGTATATGAGATACACTTGCACATCAGAAAACAAGTCTATTTCTGGTCACTGGCATTGTCTCCTAGACTTATAACAAACCTAAAGATTTGATTTTTGTCAATGCCATTGGCCTATTATCCTACCAAGCCAAAGATTCTAAATTCTGCTTCAAAAGTAAAAGCCAAATTCATATATAAAGCACTACTGTGTGTCTATGATGCTAATTGTTGCCAACTCCTTTGTATGTTAAATGTATTTATGTTACCCAAGTACAAATATCTTCTAAAATGCATAGCTCAGGTGACCACTTCACCCAGCTGGTGTCCTCCAAACTATAAGTATTAATGATGTTAGCCTTTTGCAGGTTTGTGTTCATGTACTTGTAACTATATTGTACTACCATCTATAAACAAAGACAATTAGACATTTCCCAACACTGCATTCTAAACAGCACCACTTTATTAATTAAAAAGATTGATCACCTAAATGAATATAACTGTAAACAAGACATTCTACCTTATTTATTTTTTAAATGTCAAAAAGATAATAAAAAAGCTTGATAGTCCTAACATAATGCTATCAATCATAATTAGTTTCCTAAAATGCTGTATGCAACAGAGGTAAACAGACTGTCAATTAGTAGCTTTTTTTCAGAATTTTTATCATGTATTCTAAGTCTTTCATCAATGTTTTCTAAAAAAGCATTTACAGTCAAGCACATAAAAATTCCTCTAGTAAGTACTTATTTTTCAAACAAATTAGTTTTCTCTCATTAGTTTTGTTTTATATTTTTCTTGTAAAATTTCATAATTGTTGTCTGTTGACATTCTAACAAATGTGCAACTTCTAACAAAGCAACCTGTACATCATTTTTTATTCTAGGACTTTACCAACAAAGCAGGCAAAACTAAACTTCAAAATGGACACCAGGTAAGCTCAGCCTAACAGTCACTCCTTTTAAGTCACTTAGTTGCTTAAATTTGGCCAAAAAGGGTCTATCAGCACTGAATTCCCAGCTGTTACTCCCCCTCCACAATCTGGCACCAGATCAAACCAACTGGGACAAAGCTCATCCTGACAATGAGGGATAACTAATGCCAAACCACCAGGTGGTTAATCAGCTATGTCTTCAGAAAAAGTTGTTCAGAGACAAGGAGAGAAAACTGTCAAAATCAAAATGGAGTCATTTATGCCAACCCTTCCAAACGTAACTAAAGCCAAGAGGTTATAAAGAAAGGGTACCCTAAGGATAAGCTCTTCCACTAGTCAACTTTATGCTAAAGATAAACACATGTCTTTGACAATGGGCTTCAATTTAAATAAAGAAATGACTTCCAGTGATTACAAACATATTGTATAGAGCAATTTCAGATCAAGATACTGAATGTGAGCCAGGCACCAGTGCTTAATGCCTATAATCCTAGCTACTTGCGAGGCAGAAATCAGGAGGATTGCAAATCAAGGCCAGCCTGGACAAAAAGCAAGGCCGTGTCTCAAAAATACCCAACACACACACACACACACACACACACACACACAAACAAAGGGACTGGCAGATGGCTTCAATGTTAGAGCACCTGGCTAGCAAGAGTAAGGCCCAGAGTTCAAAGACTAGTACTGCCAAAAAAAAAAGAAGAACCCAGGTACTCGTCAATACCCTTGCTGTCCATAATATGTTTCTATTTATTGGAAACCTGGTCTTGGTCTGCCTGATATTCAATGAGAGCATCATAGTGTTATAAGTCATAATTTCTGTTACTTGTTGAAATCTGAACTTGATCGCAAGTAGAATCCAGAATATCCTAGGCTAGGCCTTTTACACTGGGGATTCACATCACTTAACTAAGGAGTGTCATTAATGTACAGCTCTTTAGAGCCTACTGCAGGCTTACTGAATCTCTCTACTTAATAATGTGGATGGAGTCTTAGTATATTCTAAGAATATGTTTACATTTAGGATAAAATATGTTTATGCTTATGATATATCTCAGGATTGTGATGTTATATCTGAAGGTTTATTCCCTCTGTAAAGATTATGTTCATCCCTTCTCATAAATTAGATCAAAATAGGATTAATCATTATGTTTATAGATATTTATCTGAAACCTCAGGGTTGACACAATTTGTTCTGCATATCACAAAAGCAATAATATTTGCTTGTCAGTTGCATTCTGATCCAATATTCCACTTCAAAAAATTAACAGTAATAAGATCACCATAAATATTTTAAAATATTTGTCATAACAAGTAGATTTTGTTTGTTTGTTTTACCCTGACTGGTCCCTGAAAGTGCTTGTAAATCAGCTACAGGGCAGAGGGCCACAAAGACCTGAGAGAAAGGATGAGGACAGTGCTCTTGGGAACAGTCTTCTGGTAGCATGCTTAAATAACTTGAAGTCAGTCCTAAGTCAGGATTTCCAGAGCTCTCACAGCGAAGCAGATGGGTTTATGAGAATTAGAACCCAAGACCGAGCAGACTGTGAATTAATTACACAGGGCTGAATGGACCACTACAAATTTATGGTTTGTTTTTTGTTTTTAGCAGCTGGGAGTTAAACCCAGGTCCTCGAACATGCTAGCTAGGCACTCTACCACTTGAGCTACAAGTGCTATTTTTGCTTTGTTTTTGAAACAGGGTCTTGCCACTACTTTGGCTCAGGTTGCTCTCAAAGTCATTATCTTCTTGCTGCTTCTTTCCAGGTAGCTGAGAACATAGGTGTGTGCCACCATGCCTAGTACAGTATGGGTTTTCCTTGGAATGCTGCTGAAGTACTATGGTTCTGTTTTCTGGACACAAGGAAATGCTTCTCTTAAATTGCATATGACTAAACAACTTAAAGTTTGACATAATTTTTTTTTGGTGGTCCTGGGGTTTGAACTCAGGGCCTCATGATTGCTAAGCAGATGCTCTATCACTTGAGCTGCCTCACCAGTCCTTATAACTAAATAACTTAATGGATTTTTTGGGTAGATAAATTCAAAACATTTAGTAGATGTTTCACTTATAAGACAGTTTTATAAACAGAAAATGAGACAATTTAGTAGACTGTTCATTTTTGTAGACAGAAATGAAACATTTATTTCTTTCTTTTCCTTGCTTGACCCCTCTGAAATTCAGAAACACTTATTAAGCATTCTTGTCTTCATAGCAGTATAGTAATTCATTTAGAATTTGTTTTTGTTAATGGAACATAATCTAAAACATTGCCTTATCAGGAGTGTCATATTTGAAAACAATGCTTATTTAATCAGATATGAGGAACTATTTTTAAAGATCTAAGGATAACTTTAGGCAGCAGTTATCAACAACTCTTTCTTGGGAAAATTAGGTCTGCAGGGTTCCCAGTCTTTAATGTGACTAAGGCAGTTCATTTTATCATAGGCTCAGGAAGCCTCAAATTCTTAGAGATATGAAAAGGAGAGGAATTCACCCAAATCTGTAAGTACCAAAAGCAAATTCAGTGGTGAATTCTTGGCTTGGTTTCTTAGCCTCAAAAGCTTTTCAAAATCCAATCTGAGATACTTTATGAGAGCATCTAGCAGCACCTATACAACAAATTACCCTTCTTGTTGTACCTTGTAAATAATCAGGTCAATCTTTTAAGACTAGACTGATTTTATGATAAAAATGGTGTTTCTTTGCAAAAGGGATGAATTTATGTATAAATTTTGTGTTACAATAGAAAACTATGGCACATCCTCTTGAGTTATCAGATTCTACTCCCATTAATTTTCTTTGCATTTTTTCCCATTTGTAAATTACAGATAAAAGATGCTTATACATACCCTTCTTAGCTGGTAAAAATATAATTGACTTCTACTATGGAAAAACCAATTTAGGTATGTACCTGTGAGTTGGACTAGATCCTGTTGTCATGCCCAAATTGCCAACACTTACCAAATTTTCAGCTTTTCCAGACTCCTTCAGTATTTGGCTACAGCCCTTCAGATGAACTTTCCAGTTTTTCTCCCTCCTTTCCTTCTTGGCATCATTTGAGAACTAAAATCTAACTGCTCAGACCTTTATAAGGACTCAGGTTACTTTGATGTCAACCTTTTCTCCCAGGATCTGAAGAGCATGGCAAGCTAAAGCCCAAGGATGGGATATATACCTTCAAGCTCTCATCACTGCTGTAGACCATGCACAGGTCAGATTTTGACCCAGACAAGCTGCTGTTTGGGTCCCTTGGAAGCCCGGTAAAATGCTTGGGTCATGCACACCTCTACATGAAAGGTAATTAAGATTATGGACAATATCACAAGAGCTTGATGCACAGATGACATGCACGGGAATTTCAGGTGCTCAGGGTTCTTGAGCCCGCTCTGAGAATGAAAGCACAGGCAGACTCCAGTAGCAGAGGTTGGAAAGATTTTATTTGTAGAGAAGAGAAGAGAAAGACCGCATAGTGGGGAATGCAGGGGGACCTGGAAAACGGTCCCATGGGTCAGGGTGGAGAGTGGGTTTTTATAGCCTTTTTGCATTGCCTGAGGGCAGAGATGTCTCTCAGGTGCAGCCAGAAGTTTCCTGGGAAGGAAAGGTGTCTCTTTGACCACTTATCACCTTTTGGGACCACCTGCAGTCCATCCTTCAATTCCCCCTCTTAATGGTCGCCCTAATTGCTGTTAGGGACAGGGACAATGAAGAGTCTATTGAAGGATGGATGGTCAGCATCTCAGCTATTCCTTTCTCTCCTGGACCCAGGTCCTCCAAGAAAATTACTGTTCAGGGCATATCAGGTCAGCCCCTAGAGCGTTATTTCACTCAGCCTTTAGTCTGCTCCTGAGGAGACTTCTATTTCTGTCACTCCTTTTTAATTGTCCCAGAAACCCCTACTCCTCTGCTAGGGAGAGACCTTCTATCTAAATTGGGGTACAGCTTCTTTTACTCCCAGGAGAGTACTTTTGCTTGCCCCTAATAGAGGAACAAGTAGACCCCACGGTGTGGACAGATGGACACACTGTGGGATAGGCACGAACAACAGTCCCAGTCCTAATTCATCTCAAGGACCACTCCTGGTTTCCCCATCAAAAACAATATCCTTTAAAGCCAGAAGTTAAGGAGGGGCTAATTCCCATAATCAAAGACTTAAAGAGACAGGGACTGCTAATAGAATGCTCCAGCCCATATAATACTCCTATTCTTGGTGTCAGATGGAGGCTAGTCCAGGATCTCTGCCTCATCAACGAAGCTGTAGTGCCTCTCCACCCTGTAGTTCCAAATCCCTATACGCTTTTAGCCCAAATACCCCCAGGTACCGCTTACTACTCTGTCCTGGAATTAAAAGATGCCTTCTTTTGCATTCCCTTACACCCTAAAAATCAACCCATCTTTGCCTTTAAGGACCCCACACAAAAATCTGGACAGGTCACCTAGCCTGTCCTCCCCCAGGGATTCAGAGACAGCCCCCATCTTTTTGGGTTGTCTCTAACTCAAGACTTGGCAGAGTGGCAATACCCACAAGCTACTCTGCTACAATATGTAGATGACCTCCTGTTCTGTGGACCAAATGAGCCTGTCATTTCATGAACCACTGAATCCTTACTAAACTTCCTAGCAGATAGAGGATATAAAATCTCTAAAGAAAAAGCCCAACTGTGTCAGTCTAGGGTTACATATTTAGTTCTTGTCCTGGAGAAAGAAATGAGGGCTCTAGGAGAAGATTAGAGTCCATCCAATTCCGACATTTCCTCTACCTAAAACTCTAAAACAATTGAGGGCCTTTTTGGGGGGTGACAGGATACTGTAGAATTTGGACCTAGCCAGGCCGTTAGATCAAATCCTTAAGGAAGCACAAAAGGATACCCAGCCCTTTATTGAATGGGATGACAAGTCAGAAAATGCATTCCACCAGTTAAAAAAGGCCCTTATGACAGCTCCAGCCCTGGGTCTCCCAGTACTAGACAAATTTTAAATATATGTCTATGAAAAGGGAGAACTGGCCTTGGGAGTGGTGACTCAGCCCCGGGGCATCACTCCCCAGCCAGTAGGCTATTTAAGCAAAGAATTAGATCAGGTAGCCAAGGGATGGCCAGGATGCCTTAGAGCAGTGGCTGCCGTTAGCCTTCTAGGGCCTGAAGCTCAAAAACTTATCCTAAACTGCCCCCTAACGGTTTATATCCCACATGACCTAGGGGGAATTTTAAACTCAAAAGGAGAGCTTTGGCTATCTGACAGCTGTTAGGTCCCTGGCATTCTTGGGATGGGCAGAAGGACCCGATGCTACACCTTAAAACCAGACCCCCTGATTTATGACTGCTAGGTTCTCCCTGCCTTATTGTTGGCTTGCAAAACAACCCAGGAACTTCCAGTTACTCAACTAGCCAGACATGTTGACCTGTTCCATCCGGTGATCACAGATAATCAGAGACCAGAGACTCTCTCCCTCCCCCATGGCTTGGCCCCTCCTATAAAGTCCACTACCCAATTCAGCCAAGTCGCCTCACTCTGAACCTGACAAGAGTGATGGCCCTGCAGTCTGGACCAATAAACCTTTCCTTTCCACACGTGGCATGGTCTTAATTCAGCAGTACCTTACAACAGCCATCCATTTATACCAGGCCCAGCTCCTGAGTGGACGGAAATAATTTTAAGGACCTATCAGAGCCTAAATCCTGCATTCCTTCTACCAGAGGCAGAGGGAAATCCTGAACACTCATGTGAGGAGGTACTTATGGAAAATTATGCTGCCTGACCTGACTTAACTGATCAGTCCTTAAAAAACCCAGATCTAGAATTATGCACTGATGACAGTTCCTTTGTCAAGAATGGTGTCAGACATTCAGCGTTTGCAGTTGTAACAGAATTTGACATCCTCAAATCAGGTCCTCTTCCTCCTAATACAAGTGCTTAATTGGCAAAATTAGTGGCCCCAACAGAAGCCCTAAAACTGTCAAAAGAACAGAGAGTCAACATCTATACAGATTCTAAGTATGCCTTCCTGATCCTGCATGCTCATGCAGCCATTTGGAAGAAAAAAATGCTAACTACAACAGGAACAGCTTCCCATAGAGATAAAAGGGAGGTTACTTTAATAGTTTTAGGGATAACTGCATTAGTTGCAGCCCTTGCTGGAATCAGCTTTGGGGTGATTGCCAATCATGTAACTGCAAAAAACCTAACCAAAGTGATAGAGGACACCTCAGACCAGGTAGGCCTTGCCATTAAGGACATGCAAAGGTCTTTGTCGTCCCTTGCCTGTATGGTCATGGACCACCACCTGGCCCTAGATTTTCTTTTGGCCAAACAAGGAGAGGTATGTGCCATGGCCAATACTTCCTGTTGCACATATATAAATACTTGAGGCATTATAGAGGAACGTGCAGATTACATTCTTCAACAGGCTAAGTGGCTCCAGGAACAATCTCCTGAAACTCAGGTTTCTACACAGGTATGGGACCAAATAAAATCCTGGCTCCCCTCCAGGACTTGGTTCCTACCCTTTCTGGGACCTATAGTTGCTATTATTCTCTTGCTTGTGTTTGGGCCTTGCATTTTAAACTTACTTGTCAAGTTTGTTTCTTCTCACTTAGAATCCATCAGACTACAAATGCCTCTGATGGAGATGAAAACAATGTACTATCGCAGTCCCCTCTAACTCCTCTGTGGTCAGCCCTGATGCTGTGGGCCCCTTCATCACCCCAGTCAGCAGGAAGCAGTTACTGAATAGACTTCGCTGTCCTTATCTCTAACAACAGTCAGGGTGACCATTGAAGGGGGGAATTGAAGGACGGACTGCAGGAGGTCCCAAAAGGTGTTAAGTGGTCAAGGAGACACCTTTCCTTCCCTGGAAACTTCTGTCTGCACCTGAGAGACATCTCTTCAGGCAATGCAAAAAGGCTATAAAAACCCAATCCCTACCCTGACCCACTGGGATCACCAGTTTGTGGGTCCTGCTGCATTCCCCACTTATGCATTCTTTCTCTTCTCTTCTCTACAAATAAAATCTTTCCCACCTCTGCTGCTGGAGTCTGCCAGTGCTTTCATTCTCAGAGCAGGCTTAAGAGCCCTGAGCACCTGAAATTCCTGTGTGTGTCATCTGTGCATCAAGCTTCCACAGCTTAGCTTCAAGAAAAAAGCCATGCTGTATATTCAAAGATTTTCATCAGAAATCACTGTCTGGATAGCCTTAGGATTCAACTGCTAGCTTGTACTTTAATATGACATTTTATATTAATGGTTATATTTTTCATTTAGGCATCTCAGTTTGTTGTTGTTGTTTTGAGATAGGGTATCACTGTGTAGCCCAGTCTGGCCTCAAACTCATGATCCTCCTGCCTCAGCCTCCTAAGTGCTGAGGTTACAGGCATGCAAGACCATGCCCAGTTTAGGCATCTCACTTTTTAACATGTTGATCTTCCTTTTTTTGTGTGGGTATGGTTCTGGGGTTTGAACTCAAGGCTTCATGCTTGCTAGGCAGCATCACTTGAGTCACTCCACCAGCCCTTTTTTGTGTTGGGTATTTTTGAAATAAGGTCTTGTGAACTATTTGCCTGGGCTGGCTTTAAACCTCGATCCTCTTAATCTTTGCCTCCTGAGTAACTAGGATTACAGGCATAAGCCGCCGGTGCCCCGCTTGATTTCGTCTTTTAATATGTTGATGTGTAGGACCTTTGCCAGCACACCCAACAGATGATCCTACTAGTCTTCCAGGAACCACACAACCAGGGTAAATGTTGCATCAATTATCTCCTGCTTTAGATTTTCCTTGACCTGAGTCATTAAAGGAAAGTTCCTCTGAGTCTGTCTTGAACAAGAGGATTTACCAACAAGGTTGATCCAAACTTGTGCTGATCAGGACAGACTAGCTTTGAGGTGAACTTCACACACTATAATTTCCCTGCTCCATCCCAGTGCCTGACGCCAACTCACATGTCTGACCACAAACAACACTGTTGCCTTCTGGTTACTATAATGTTGGATGCTGTTTTTAAGTTTTAAAATGCCACCCAAGTATTTTTTAGCATCTCCTTCCTCTTTTCACGTCCACCTTCCTGTTCTTATGACCTCCATATATCAGAGTTTCACTCGCCTACCACTCCTGTGAGAGGTTTCTGGCTTAGGCTTTGAGCATCTTCTTGCTGCAGTGGTCTTCTTTTCCTCACTAATGCTCAGACTTGCATTTCCCCACCCTACACACCCCTGTACATAGCCTTTAGTTCAGTACCAATCACTGGAGTCATGTAATCATATTTCACCAAATAACCCTTATGGAATTTTGAATAAATTAATGTAGCAGGGATTGAAATTTGTAGCACCAAGATTTTTAGGTAGATATAGAGCCAAACAAGACTTACAGCCAGTTACAGCACACACCTTAATTCCCAGCTTCTCTAGAGGCTGAGGCAAGGGGATCACTGGAGTTTGCAGCCAGCCTGGGCAACATAGCAAGGGCTCATCTCAAAAAAAAAAAGAACAAGGAGAAGAAAAAAAAGGAGGAAGAGGAGGAGGAGGACTTGTTAGGTTTCTCCCTTATAATATCTGAGAAAATAGCTTGCCTCCAAGTAGCAGACTACACCACCCCAGTCTTCTACTAAGTTCTACTTCTGTGAAAATTCAGTTACAAGAGCTAGACACACAAAAGGCTTCCAAGTATTATTTTGGTGGAGCCTTTTCTTTTCTACATATGATGGAATGGTGTGGGGGGGTTAGATTTCTGGCAACCTGGTCTGTTATGGTGTTTTCTTTCTAGAAAAAATCATCCAGTGGCTGGGCCTCCTTATCCAGGAAACCAAAGGATTCATTACAAAGATGTAGAACCAAAAGAAGCTAGTAGTTCCCAAAGGAAACTGCAAAATCAGCAGTTTGGTTATATCTTTAGCCAGCTGGTGAGCAAATTGTAATCAAGAAAGACTAAAGATGAAAAAAATGGTTCTTAAAGCACTTAGCTCTCTACCTTTCACCTTGACCTAATCCACTCAAAAGGCTCAGGTAATGTGTAAAACCAAATGTATGGGGAAAGGATTGACCAGCAACCTCAGTTTTTTGCCAAATCTGTCTTCATGCCTGGACACACACACACCAATTTCATGGAGAGAGGACCTAAAGGTATAAACTTTTCTTGGAATAGGGATAGGAAAAGGTACAATAGCAAAACATAAACTAGTTCATAAATTGCCTTCCCTTTCAAATCCAATCTGAAACTGAAAGCACATCTTTGCACCATATAAAAGGCTTCAGCTCTACTTCTTCAGGCACTGCTGTCAGAGGAGGACAGGGACTGAACCACCAAGGATCTGCAGGAGATCAGGTATCTGACCGCTCTCAGCTCTGTCCTCTGAAGACTAAGGGTGTCTGAGGAGAGACTGGTGATAGAATGGGGCTGGGGGAAAATCTGAGTTTGCGTGACTGTGATAGTGGGGGATTATATATTATGGGTCAAAGCTACTAAGTCAGTTCTGGGTGAGAAATATTCTAGGTAGGGAGATGGGGTCAGATCTGGATAAAGAAAAGAATCTTGAGGGACAGACATATTGGTCTAGAAAATTAGAAACTTAATCCAAGACCACACAATTTATCACCAGGCCTTTGAGGGAGTATTTCTGACACCCGTGTCCCACACCATTCCTTAGGCCAGTGGGCCTTCCCTTCCTATGGTTAGTAAAGACTAGATTTTCAAAACAGACAGGATTATTCTTAATTTTCCAATAGTCCTCCCAACTCCATTCACACACCAACTTCTACCCTCTCTTTTTTAAATCTAGGATGGGAAAGCACCCCTTCAGTGATTAGAAGACACACAGTAGAAAGAAAGATTTTATGATTATGTGTACTGGGTGGTACACAACATACCTTGAAGACCCCACATGGAGGTCAAGGAATATAAGGGGGTGGAGGAGAGAGAGAGAGAGAGAGAGAGACTTTTTTGGGGTCCAGGGCATCATTCACACAAGTTTCCTGGGGGAATTTTAATTGATGTGTTTGGAGCAAACAGGCACAAGTTCCAGTAGGTCATGCTATGACTGAGAGGTGATTGCTGTAACATATCTGCACAGTCCATGTTGGGTATGAGGGTAAATGGGTTAGTCAAGTAGGTTGTATCTAGCTATACCATAGGAAAGTGGTCACCAGGTCTTATATAAGGCAGATATCTGCATAAGCTTTATTGAAGAACTGGAGAAAGGGGATGTGTAGAATTGAAAACTCAAGGTTACCTGAGCCATGTTTCTGATATAAGAAAATTAAACATATCTAAAATGGAGGGCTGGGGATATAGCTCAATGCTAGAGCACTTTCCCCAGCATTGCAAGAAACAAACAAACAAACAAACAAATCTAAAAAGGATGCCAAGGTAGTATAAAATTTATAAGAATTCACTATGTCTTTTCATCTAAGAACCCCCCTGATTGGTATGGTAGTACCCTGTTGGGAACCAAAAACCACAGTCTGACAAGGTCGCTGTGGCTTAGCAGCATTCTGACAAGGTGGGAATCTGCAGGTGCACCATGTCTCTATCATGGTGGGAAGGAATGCTAAATGGTTTCCCTTGACCGAAAAGAAGTTTATACTTAGTCAAGGACACTGGCAGTAAAAATACAGGGTGGCAAAAACAGAAAGGTTGTAACTAGGTCAGAGTGTTTTGATGTTTAAGTCTCTTCCTCTTTTGTATAAAGCTTGCTGAGGAAAATAAAATTTTGCCAGTTGGTCATCAGCCTGCTGGCCCTCTCGATATGTGTTTTGTCATTCCCTTATTGAGTGAGTGAGTCCTTTCATATGTCCTGTCTCATTCATTCCTTTCTTGAGCCCCTTAGGGTCAAGGACCTCTGTGATCCCGGCAGTACCCATCCATAATCCCAGCACTCTTGAGGCTGAGGCAGGCGGTTCTAGAGATTGAGACCAGTTGAACACGTCTACAAAGATCTAATTCACAATGATTATTTTAGAAGTCACTAGTTCTTTTCCTTTTTTACTTTATTTTATTTTTTTGTGGTACTGTGTCTTGAATTTAAGGCCTTCACCTTGAGCCACTCCACCAGCCCCGTTTCTTTTTGTGAAGGGTTTTTCGAGATAGGGTCTCAGAAAGTATTTGCCTGGGCTGGATTTGAACCGTGATTCTCCTGATCTCTGCCTCCTGAGTATCTAGGATTACAGGTGTGAACCACCAAGTTCTCATCCTTTTAAATGAGATTATCCTAAGTCTACACCAAAGATTGTCCCCAGAAAAAAAAGGATATTAATGATAATTCTCACCTCATTTTCCACGTTTTCTTTGCACTTTTTTAGAGTTAACTCATTACATCCATGCTCACACATTCAGGTTTACCTATGACCTCTCCACTGATTTCAGAACCCTACATGGCCACTTTTTGTTAGCACCTCTACCTGGATTTCTCATGGGCACTTCAGACTTGCCATCCTCAAAACAAAGCCATGAAACCAAATTTGTAAGACAAGCAGTGGTGAGAGCTGAGCCTGGAGAGGGGCAGAGCTACACCATGGAAACATACATGATGGCAAGAAGCTTCAACCTTGGGCCTGGATGTAGCTCAGTGGAAGTGTATTTGTCCTTCATGCACAAGGTTCTGGGTTCAATCCTTGGTACAAAAAAGTAAAATAAAATAAAGCTTGACTCTTCTTCTGGTCAGTGCTTTTCAAAAAGCCAAGTGTCTCAGAATTGCCTAGGCAACTCATTAAAAATACTAAAAGCGAAATTTTGAGAGTGGGATCCAGAAACTTTTCCAGAGAGGGTCTTATGAAATTGGATGCTGAGAACCAATGTGAGAAGGTAGAAGAGGCTGGGATATGGGATGACAAAGCAAGGTGTTCTGTCATTAGTGGTGTTTCTATTCAGAGTCAGTCAAAATGCTCCTCCAGGAGAATTTTTTTTTGTTTTAGTTTTTTTTTTTTTTTGAGACAGGCTACATACATATACCCAGGCTGTCCTGGAACCTGGGATCCTCCTGCCTCTACCTCCCTAGTGCTGGGATTACCAATGGGTGTTACTGCCTGGCTTACCTAGGAGGGTTTTTAGTAATTTAAGGAGGATAGCCAGGGTCTTCAAATCCCTTAAAGAAGGATACATCAGCTTTTATAACTTTGCCTAAAGATTAAAAAAAAAAAAGGTTGATGGGAACCTCTTACAAAGAATTAAAGAATTTAAGTTTGGATAAATGCAAATATTCATCACCCTAATGCTGTACAATTTAACAATTCCAAGAATCACTTAAGAATGTTGGACAAGTATAATCAAAGTATAAGGTGATGAAACAAATTAATAGTTCTTTGGGAATTTGTGTCAGATATCATACCATTTACATCACATTCAAATTTTTAAGTGAAAACTTTCTCATATAAAAGGGTTTCTTTGGTTTTGTGTTTAGGGGACTTTTTGTTTTGTTTTGTTTTTTGATACTGTGGATTGAATGGTGGCCTCACCACTGAGCAACACAACCATCCTTAAGACCCATTCTCTTTTGTTTGTTTGTTTTTATAGGACCAGGTATTAAACCAAGGGCCTATACATGGTATTCAAGTGCTCTGCCCCTGAGTTACACCTCCAGCCCTTTCTTTTTGTTTGTTTGGGGTTTTTTTGGTGGTATTGGGGTTTGAACTCAGAATCTCACGCTTGTTAGGCAGGCACTCTACTACTTGAGCCACTTCAGCAGCCCTTTTAAATTTTATTTTGAGAAAGTGTCTCACTAAATTGCCAAGATTGACCTCAAACTCAAGATCTTCCTGTCTCAGTCTCCCAAGTAGCTGGTATTACAGGCATGCACTAGTATACCTGGCTTGGCAGGTTTTGTAATCATAACACATTTCAGTCTGTGAAAGATTTCAGTTGAACTCCCATGTGTGTTAGATTTTTGTTGCTATGACAAAATACCTGAGAGAATTAACTTAAATGGAGAAAAGCTATATTTTGGCTCATGGTTTCAGATGTCCCAGTCCATGGTCAGCTGGCTCTGTTGCTTTGGGTCTGAGGTAAGCACATATGGGCAGGCAGCACACATCAAGGTGGCTGGGAAGCCCCTCACTTACACTGTCTTCTGTTTGTTTGCAGTTGTTTTTGAACTGGAAGATGACATCTCTTCTAGCCATGGAAGTTCACATGTCCCTGCTAACTTGGTGGCTGACACAGCAGGTAATATAGCCACCCATTCTCAACCCACATCTTCTTCCCCCACATCTTTGAGACTCTATAGTTCCCAGAGTTGAGTCTGTGTCTAGAGCCAGTTAGAGAGCGTGAATATGAAAAATGACACGAAGATAGTATGAGTAAAGAAAAGAGACTCACAAAGTTTTGCTTTTTCTTTTTATATTACCATAACATAAGAGCCAGGTGTTCACAACTGCAATCCCAGCTACTTGGGAGGCAGTGATCAAGAGGATCACAGTTCCAGGCCAGCCTGGGCAAAAAAGTTCACAAGACCTTATGCCAAAGGAAAAAAGCTGTTGGGATAATGCACGCCTGTCATCCCAGCTACAGCAGAAAGCGTAAAATAGGAGGACCAAAGTCTAGGCCAGCCTGGGCAAAAAGCAAGACTCTATCTCCAAAGTGACGACAGCAAAAAGGGCTGAAGGCATGGCTCAGGTGTTGGAGCGCCTGCCTAGCAAGCATGAGGCCCTGAGTTCAAACCCCAGCATAGCCAAAAAAAAAAAAAAAAAAATCAAGATTTGCAAAACCCCAGTACCACCAAAATAATAATAATAATAAGATTGTGTTCATAAGCACGCCTTATGTGAACCTGTAACTGTAAAATCTTAGGCTGAGCAAGAAGCCATGCTGGGGGCTCTGGACAGAATCCAGCACATGCTGGTTCCTCTGCAAACAAAGCAGAGGGCTCTACTCCTTCCCTACAGGTGACCAGCCTGACAGAGGACTTTCAGCTGGACATGGCTTCCAGTGCTTTTGATGATCAGTATGAGGGCTGTGTTGATGAAATGGAGGCAGAGGCACCCAAGCTATTAAAAGAAGAGTTGAACATGAACACACTATTGAAAAGCGAATGGGAAATGGCAGAGAAAAAATGGAAGCAAATAAAGAACAGAATAAACTATCCAAAAAGTTTCAATGATTTCCACGGAACAGCTGTCGTGGCCTATACGGGGTGCCTTGCAATTCATTTTAACAAAGCTGTAAGAGAATTCCATCAAAACTCACATACCTTTCAGTACAAGGCCTTCCATTATTACTTGACAAGAGCGCTTCAGCTTCTCAGGACTCAGAGTTGTCCCACAGTTTATAGAGGCTCTAAGACCAAATTTTCTTACAGTAGAACAGGAAGGGTACGATTTGGACAATTTACTTCATCATCTTTGAATAGAAATGTAGCTGTTTCTTCACAGTTTTTTAGTTATGATGGGACACTGTTTGTCATCAAAACCTGTTTGGGTGTTAATATCAGAGAATTCTCTCTCTATCCTCTTGAAGAGGAAGTGTTAATTCCAGGGTATGAGGTGTACCACAAAGTCACTGTAACAGAAACTAGTAAGAAATACAATGAAATTTTTCTTGAAGATCCCCAAAGAATGAAGAGCAACTTCAATTGCTTCTATAGTAGTTCTGCTAAAAATCCCAATGAACAAGACAGCAATTTCAACAGCTCAGGTGAGTGTGGGTGTCACCTGGAGGTGGGTCTGGTGTGGCCATCAAAAAATAGAACAGGGAATGCTTCCTACCCAAAGCCATACGCACAGCCAGGAATGACCAGGGTTTGAAGTTAGTGAACCCAGGGACACAACCTCAGGAAGGGCACATCAGTAATGGTTAAAAAGCTGAGGGTGAGGAGAGCCACCATGAACACTTTCAAAACCAAGCTGACCTGGGTTTCAGGTATCCATGCATTAACAGTCATAATTCCTTGTGGCCTGTAATCTCTCTCCTCCTTTCACCACATACCATATTTCATCCAAGCTTAGACACCATTGTAATTATCTTTCAAGACCTAATTCAAATATCACTTCCAAGGTAGCCTTCGTGATACTTTCAGGGAAAATCGAACACTGTACCATCCTTCCTGTCATAGGTTGAAGTCACACCACCTCAGTGATAATCTGGCTTAAGCATTACTAACTCTGTGACTTCCGGCAACTTACCCAAGCAATCTGTGTTCAATTTCCTCATCTGAATGACATGGACACCAATAACAAATCCTTCAGTAGGACTGCTGTGAGATTTAAAAGAGAGTAATTCAAGACCTACTGTCTGGCACATAGATATTGCTCAACAAATTCTTTTTTTTTTTTCCCCATGGAAAACCTTGTACACATCTCAGCCATTTCATCTGATCTTATAACAATGTGGAGTAATGATGAGTATTGTTTATCATTGATATGATGATCATTTGTTTACAGTCTGGAGACTGCATAATGCCTGGCTTGAGTCAGGGTTCCAGTGTATGTTGTTGCAGTAAGTTAAGTTCACTGAGAGGCCAGAGATCCAACAGAAGTGGATCTGAGCTGCAGAGGGACTTAATACCCAACACATTTTAGACCAAATTAATCCTTATGCTCTGATGGGGTTCTGGAAACATGAGAAATCTTTGGGAGTAGATATGGGACCACAGAGAGTGATAATGGGGAAACTCTGAACCTTTACATAGAGGGATTTGGGATTTGGATCAAGCCTAATGAAAACCTGACGCCCTGGTAGAAAGTCCAGCAGAGGAAAATGCTGCCACCCATCTGGGCCAAGTGGCTGATACTCAGCTTCAGGCAAGCTGAGAACCCCAGGTGGGAAGTCAGATCCCACCAGCTCCAATTAGGACTAGCCATCACAGAAAGGAATATATTAATTGCTATAAAAGGTGGGCTTCCAACAGATCTAGATCTAGAACTATCTCCCTGCATGGAAAAGGTTAGGCATGGAGGGGCTCCCACAATAGCCAGGGGGGCTCCAGGCTCCAGGTGGGAAGGCCATTCTCATCCAGGCACAGTGGCTTAGCGCACAGGGCTTGGGTATGGGCTAAAGGATTCATTGACCCACTCAATTTAAAATGACCTTAAGTTCAAGATCCAAAGGAGGTGTCCCCACAGTGTCTCGCTCCCTGGTATTTGTGAGTACTTTAGGAATCTTGGGAAAGCATGAGCAGAGTCTAACCAGGTGTACTGAGCCTCGAGACCCTGCTTTCATGGGTTTTGACCTGAAGGTGAAGTTCTGGAAGTTTGGGAGGCCCGTGTCTTCAGAAACTCTGTATGGAAAACTTTCCTTCCCCTTCTCCCATCTGCAGGAAGAAAAGGCCCCATGTTCCTGTTGCTGCTGCTGCTTGGTCTCCCTGTCCTGCTGTCTGCCCCTACTGAGCTGTAACCCTCCCCTGCCTGGTGTTGGATGGAGACCAAGAGACAGGGGTTTGACTGGTTCTTCAAGATCAGCAGTACTGGGAAGGGTGGGATCGTTTTTTCTAATCTACTTCAGTGCTCATGTCCTTCATAGACATATGAGGAAACTACTGCATCTGACTGCACAAGTGCGTACTCTGTCTTAAAGTTTACTACCTGAGATAAGTTCCTGATCTTTTGCCACTTTGCTATGATTATAAAGCAATATTTGTATGCACTGTCAGCAGCGGCAGCCTTAAAAAATTCAATTTGTCATGAATGTAATAATCTAAAGAAATAAATCACTTATAATCACAACTTGCTTTTCTGCACCTAGCTATTTCTATAGGTTGTATTATTTGTTCAAGAAATTCTCCTAAGATGTTAGATCTGATGCCAGCATTTTATAGCTGAGAAGGTTCATGTCATACATTTCTTATAGACATCCTTGCAGGACTGACTGATTGAGCCATAAATGGGCTGTTCTAAATAAATTCCTCTATCTACACTGCCCCACCAGAAATGCAAGCAGTTACTGCGCCTTGTCAATTAATTTGAATAATAGCCACCAAATATATTTGAAAGGCACATTTTGAGGGATGGACAGAGGCAGGAAATGTAGGTGCTGTACTCACCATGGGTGGGTTTAGCTAAGATGCACAGAATTGCCCTCACTCTTCATTCCCCATTCTCCATGCCTGAAGACTACACTGCCTTTGTCTACCGGCTGTTGAGGTAAATCACAAAGACATGGCAACTAACAGCAAATTGCATAATGGTGCAATAATAGACAAAAAGATCATTGGAAGGAAGAGAGTCTAGAAAACTGCTGGAATCTTGAGAAACCCTGGAACAATGCAAATATGGCTACCTCCAAAAAAAGAGCCAGAGAAAAACAACACATATAGCTGGCTGCCCAGCCCCAGTGACCTTCCCGATAATGTCCAGCACTTTCCCCCATTCCCCCTTCACAGTCATTTTTTCTAATGCCCATCCCCCTCCAAACTCCCTTTTCCCACCACAGGATGCTTAAAAACCCCAGCCTGTGAGAGAGGCGTGCTCTCACCTCTCTCAGAGTGTTACTCTGATGGCCAGGGTCCCTCTCAGGTTTCCTCTTCCTAATTAAGGGCCTGCTGCTTTTAGAGGTCACAGATTCTTTCCTGGTCTCTTTCTCTTTCTCTCTCTCTCTCTCTCTCTCTCTCTCTCTGTCTTGCTTCTTCATTTTCCTTTCATTTGGTACCAAAATCTGGGAGAGATTTTTGTGTGGGGGGAATGCCCTTCTTGGGTTACTGTGATTCCATGGCAATCCTCATGGTCGATGGTGCGCCCCCATGGGGTCTTTGGTCCGGGGCTTGTATGGATGCACTAGGGCCAAGAGGTGTCTAAGCTCCCGAGAGGGATGTGGTTGGTGTCCAGCTCCATCCCCAAACTGCCTGACCTCTTTCCAAATCTCTCTTTCTCTCCCTTCTTTCCCTCCTCACTATCAATATATGACGCTATCACTATTATACTTTCTGCTGAGCCTCCCCATCATACTGACAGTTCTTTTGGGCACAGAGTTAGGGGCAAATGCCCCTTCTGATTGGACTAGAGCCCAAAAGTTATTGTTAGTCAGATTTTTTTTTACCTAATAGCCACACTACTCTTGGGCCTGACCTTTTGGTCATACATAAGCCCTAACTTCCAGTTCCTCTGTGACCTTCTGCAGGGTCCTTCACCGATTCCACTGTGAAAAATCAACACCAGGTCTGATTCTACAGGGATGGGTAAGACCTGGCCTCTGGCATTCTGTGGTGCCTGTCTCAGTGTGTCAATCTCTGGCCATTCTTGCCTTTGGTGTTCCTATCTCTCACCTTCCCTCTCACCCTCTGGCTGTTTGGCCCCCAGCGAGTCTGGCCCCTGGCTACATAGGTTAGAGATGTCTACTTAAGGCCCCAGGTTCTTTTCCTGGTTTTGTAAGCTTTCTTTGGGGGACGCCCTAGAGCAAACTTCTTAAAACCGGCCTTGGGCAATACCCACTCTAAAATTCCCTCTGACTCACCCCTGGGCTGTCTCCTATATAATCTCACAACAATAGGCTTACAGGGCGATTTAAAACGAACAAATCATCTGTTTTTCCACACAAATTTGGCCATAATATAGGTTAGATATCTCCTCAAAATGGCCTGAATTTGGCACTTTTGTTCCCAATATTCTCCAAGATCTTGACAATTTTATTGTGAGAAACAGCAAATGGCAAGAGGTCCCTTATCTTCAGGCTTTCTTTTATCTGAAGTCCTGACCTTCCCTTTGTTCAAACTGCAGTCCCTCCAAGTCCTTCTTCTTGATTCTCACCTCCCTCTTAGCTCTGCTGCTAATCCCCTCCCATCAACTTTCAATCCAGATCCTGCTGACAAACCCCCTCCTTATCGGTCTCCCCCAACCCAAATCCTCAAGCCCCTTCTCCTCTCCAGAAGACTCTTCACCCCTCTTTCCCTAGAAAACCCTTCCTCAACTGAGGTCCCTTCCCTTCCTTTGTCTCTTCCTCACACCTGATCCCAAGTGCACAATCCCACACTCCTATAACTATCCACATCTACACATCCCCCTCCAGTCCCCATTCTCCCCTTATGAGAGGTGGCAGGAACAGAAGGGACAGTCAGAGTCCATGTCCCTTTTTCTATGCTAGATATTTCCCAAATCGAACAATGATTGGGCTCCTTTTCAGAAAATCCAGCAAGATACCATAAGGAACTCTTCTGTCTTACTCGGGCCTACACCCTCACATGGATTGACATCTATTACATTATTAACGATGCCCTCATAGAGGATGAACAAGAGAGTATGGAAGGCAGCAGAATAGCATGCTGACCAACTCCATCAATAGCATCCCAATAGACACCCCCCCCCCGCCACCGCTGGGGCAGTACCTAAGACTGAGCCTCAATGGAGCTTATCAAGATGGGGACCCAGGAGCAAATTCCTGAGATCATATGATTGCCTGCCTACTGGCAGGCATGGACAAAAATAGCTATAAACAACTCAACTACAATAAGATCAACGAAATCACACAAAATCCAGATGAAAACCCCACCCTCTTTCTTAATGGCCTCATGGAGACAATGATCAAATACACTAATTTAAACCTGCCTCCTAAGAGAGCTGTATTTCCTTACAGCTCCACTTTATCAGTCAGCTCCAGACATCTGAAAGAAGCTCCAAAAACTTGAAGAGGGCCTTCCAACCTCCCAACAAACCTTAAAAAACACAGTCTCTAAGGTTTTTAACAATAGGGATGAGGAAACCAAACAATTAAAGAACAAAAATACCCACACAAAATACCAAATGCTGGCCTCTATCCTCCCCAACCAAAACCAGACATCCCATACCGTCCCAAAAAACACACCCAAGGAACCTGGCAAACAGCCCTCTGAGGCCTGCTTCTGATGCAAAAACAAGGGACGCTGGGTAAAATCTTGCCCTAACCCACATCCACCAACAAGGCTTTGTCCACAATGTGAGGATGGACTGTCATCAGGGAAAACAGCTTTTTCCTTATGTACTGCCTCAAATTCTTAACAGCCCCTCAACTGAGGAGATTGACAAGACCCAGATCATAAATCCCCCACCACTGGCAAGTCCACTCATCCATGGATAACTGGGATGGTATTGGGAAAACATATTTCTTTCTTCCTTGATACTGAGGCATCCAGATCAGTTTTAACCAAATATGTGGGTTCCCTTAAAAAGGCCTCCTTTCTTATTGTTGGAGTAGATGGCATACCAAACACTTCCAACTAATACCCCCCTCTACTGTACTTTTGGATCTAAGTCCTTTACACACCCCTTCCTGGTTATTCCAGCTTGTCCCTTTCCAATATTAGGATGAGATATACTCCATATACTCAAAACCACCATTTTTATCCAGTCCATTAATTCTGACCAGCCCATACAACTTATTCTGTCTATACAGGACCTTCCACAGCCCAAAACCTCTCCCCAACTCTTAGAGGAAGTCAATCCCCAAGTTTGGGACACATCCCACCCCTCCATAACTTCACATCATACTCTCATTAAGATTACTGTTAAAGGTACTCAATGAGAATTTTATAGAGATGATACTGGATATGGCCAACCAAAATGTACAGGAGACACTCAAGAAATTCCAAGACAACAAAAATAGAGAATTTGAAAGAGCAAAAGAAGAAATAAAGGAAACCATAGAAGCACTGTATAAACACCAAAGCGAAAGAGAGAACACGATGAATAAACGGATAAATGAACTCAGGACAACAATGGACAACATTAAAGAGGAAAACAGCCAGGATATGGAAAACCTCAGAAAAAAGAATGAAACAGAACTGCAAAACAAAACAGAAGGCCAATCCAGCAGAATAGAATAAACAGAAGACAGAATCTCAGAACTTGAAGATGAAATGGTAATTAAAGGAAAAACTGAAGAACTATTAATTAAACAACTCAAGACCTGTGAAAAGAAAATGCAAGAACTCACCAACTCCATCAGAAGACCAAACTTGAGAATCATGGGCATCGAAGAAGGAGAAGAGGTGCAAGCGAAGGGAATGCATAATATATTCAACAAAATAATAACGGAAAATTTCCCAAATCTAGAGAAAGATAGTCCCATACAGATGCAAGAGGCCTCCAGGACACCAAACAGACCAGATCAAAATAGAACTACCCCACAACATATCATCATTAAAACAACAAGTTCAGAAACTAGGGAAAGAATATTGAAGGCTGTAAGAGAGAAAAAACAAATAACATACAAAGATAAGCCCATCAAAATCACAGCAGACTTCTCAACAGAAATATTAAAAGCAAGAAGAGCGTGGGGTGAGATCTTCCGGGCACTGAATGAAAATAACTTCAACCCCAGGATACTCTACCCAGCAAAACTATCATTCAAAATAGATGGAGCAATAAAAGTCTTCCATGATAAGCAGAAACTAAAACAATATGTGACCACAAAGCCACCACTACAAAAGA